GGTACCTCTCTGTCCTTCGTGTTTCCTTGTCTAAGAACATACTACTTGCATCTTTGGAAGCGAAGAACACATGGACTCTCAAAAGACCACTGGCTTTGACCTGAGGGGTCTTCCAGTCCAACCGTAGAGATTTCATTTTTCTTTTCATTATTCCTGCCTTGTTTCCCATGTGACCGACAGTTGGAGAGCCGGGGACTTCTTTGTCACATCGTCATCTCCGTCCTTTCAGAACGCAGGGCGGAACGGTGGTGCGGAACGGTGGCCACCGCGGGTCTTCTGTTTGTTCTAGAAGGAGCCGCAGTCAAATCAAGCGTTCGCAACATGGAACAAAGAATGACGCAGAGAACAGAAAGGGGGTTTATGAAGTGAAGCTCTTTACCATTCGCGACCGAGTCCTGCAGGGCAGCTGTTCTTTTTTCCGCTTTTTAGTTTTTTCGATGCTTTAAACCCAAGCGGTTTGAGTTCGCTCTGGTGGCAGAAACAGGACAACCTCTTCCACTTCTTTTGTTTTAGGCCTAGAGACTATTTTGTCTTCAGCTTTGTTCACAAGGGCGATGATCCACGGATTTATTTTTCAACCAATGCAAGCAGCACACAGACTTCTCCCGCTCGTCCTCTGCGCCGGGTGGCTTTGGCGCCCATGATGAAAGGACTGGGCGGAAGAGAGGTCGCTCATGTTTCTGCGATTCCAAGCAGAATGAACATCCGGACATCCCCACAGGCAGACTTGGGCAGACTGTTCTCCAGAAGCTGATCTGTAAGGCTTGTTATATCTTGTGATGTTTTTTCGTTGACCCATGTGAATGTGGTAGCTTTGAGAGAAAAAAGGTGTCCGAACTCCGGACGTTCGCCGGTGCCGACTTGGACATCTCTTCGTCTCGGTCGCGGCATCGGTAGCATCGGTCGCTGTTTGGTCGCCTGTTTGAGACATGCACTTGGTGCTTAGGAACGGAAGCTTTTCGTTCCTAAGGTGATGCTCCAGTGGTCCCTGTTTGATGCAGGGCCCCTTTGGGATTTTGTTCATGACGTGAAGAACACTGCGCCCAAGCTCTGAAGGGCTTTCCACTCAACCCTTTGCCGATTGACGTGTCCGACAATTGCTATCCGTTACCCTCTGGTGGGCATTGACCAATCCACATGCATTGCATTGTTCTGACAGTTTTGGGGTCGCATGCATCAAGGAGGAACATCGTCAGCGCCTCGAGCCTGAACATGGAGAGGCCTCTCAGCAAGCGCGCAAAAAACAAGCCTCTTGAAGCGCGCCTGTTGAACCCCAGAAGACCGTTTTTTTTTGGTCTTCATGGTGCATGGGCAACGTTTGTTTGTGTCTCGGGGCAAAAAGTTTTTGTCAGTTCAATTGGCTCAAAGTATGTCATTTTGCTCAATTGGGAGCGTTGTTTGAAACAGTTCAGTTTGATCGTTTCGTCATCCTGGAGAAAACCGAAGCACCAATCTGCAAGTCCTCATTTTGGGTGTTTGGTCGTTTTGTCTCAAAATTAGAGGACCTCACAACGGCAGGGAGACTGTCCCTCAGCCTTTGACCACTCAACCAGCAGCAGAGTTGAATGAACCAGCACAAATGCATGGAATCGAGAGACGCGACCATAAAGTGGACCGCGAAACTTTGACAAAGAACATCTACAGTGCTTTCAGAGTAGATGGGGATATAACACTACCTTTTGGGGATTGTGCCATCTACTCTCAACCCAGTATACAGATACAGTGAAACCAAGCTGACATTTCTTTCACCAAACACATCCTTCACCCTTCTTCATGCAGGCGGAAGGTTTCCATCTACGATCGGCCCTTGCAAAAGCCAAGGCGCGTTTTGAAGGCGTTTTGGATCTGACTTTGAGGAGGTGTGGATTCTCTTGTAGGACCAGTTGTTGAAAAGTGAATCTGGGAGTCACTGTGGTTTTTCAAGCCTGGTTGAAGGGGGTGGAAAGTGAATCCAATTCAAGCAATCACAGAATCACCGACATGTTCATTTGGTGCGTTCCGAGAACACCATGCCTCCGTAGCTCAATGCAATTTGACACCCGACACCTGGCACCGAAGGGCTGGAAGCGAGGCGAATCCACCCAGCTCCAGTGACAATGAAATCGGGTGGATTCCAGGCTTAGGGCAGGTTGGTTGAGGGCTTGATGACCCTGTCGGAACTGGAGCGAGCCATTTGCCTTGCGCTTGTGCCCCGCAATCGAGTCCTTTGACCCAGGATTTGGTACAGTCCCATTCAGAACGGTGCTGCCGTAGGTCGAGGGGAGCCGTCGGTTTTTGGTACCTTCTCTTCAACCCTCAGACGACTCGCTTCCGCAAAACGTAAACCTTCGACAGCTTGACTGCGCAACTGTGCGACCTCTGACACTGTCCCTGATCTGCACGTCGAAGGTGACCTGGATTGGTTTCCCCTTCTTTTTTGCTTCATGCGATTTTTGGCAGGAACGAAGTCAGTCTGAGTGTCTTCGCCTTTCTCTTCGCAGAGGTGGTCGAGTATTGTCTCAAGAAGGTGGGACTGGCTTGTGGGGAAGATCCAGAAGACCTTGGTCGCTGTTCAACGGAGGTCGTGGATCTGCGAAACTCAAAGAACAAGGGAGATGATCAAAAGCCAGCTCAGCTCTACAATTTGGTCAGAATTGGTGACATCAGTAGACTGACCCCCTTTTCTCAGAGGTATGCCACGGACACTGGTCCATGATTCCTTTGGTCGGTGCGTTCAGGCCAAGGATCGGTCTGAGCCGCCACGAGGCCAGCGTGATGCATGACCTGGAGGAGCTGTGCAGTGTCTGTGGGGCGGCTCCGGGGCGAAGTCCTGGTTGTGCGGTGCTCTCCGTTTGGCCACCTTTGCCGGGGTTTGTTTGGTTGACTGGTTTGCACTTGTTGTGCGAGACGGGGTAGCCTTCGATGCATGGATTCTGAGCTTCGATTTCGGCCACATCAGAGCATCTCCCTGTTTTCTTCAGCTCTGCCTTTCACCTTGTTTTTGGATGGGTGGCGCGCACCTGGAAAACACCTCTTCTGATCCATGAAGCTCAGCTCCATCCGCAGACAGTTCAGGCTGACACAGCTGATGAACCGTGAATGGAAGAGCTGATGATTGAATCACATGGAACCCAGCATGCACTGAGGCCCATCTGACTTTCTGGACCTCAAGGTTTTCCTTTGTTTACAAGTGATCACCAAGTTAGACTCGGGCTGGTTTTTATCGATCAAAGACAACTCCAGTTGGATAAGACCACCCGTTTCTCTACCCTTCTGTTTGGGGCGATCAGGGCATAGCAGAGCTCTTCATCCTTCACTCCGCTACGCTCACACCAACTCATCCAAAGCCAAGCCGGTGCAACTCACCCATTGCGAGTGCGCCACTCGACGCGTGGTCCGCCCATTGCTCCGGAGGGGAGACCCTTCGTGGTCCGCCCGTCCGCCCCCGCGTTCGGGGCACGGCGAAGCACCCTATGGTTCGCCCCATGGTTCCATGCGCGTGGCTCGGGGATTGGACGAGGCCTGGAGCGCTACACGTGGATTTTCGTTGGTGCAACACAACTAGAGGAAGCCCAGAACTCAATTGGGTGAGCTTGCAGCCCTTTCAGCGGACCAAAAAATTGTGGGGAAAGCTCTCCGAAAGTTCATGGGAAGTGACTGAGGAACAAAGGCAAAAATAAGAGTCAGGAACCATCCCCGTTGGTCTCAAAGAGCCCCTCCGCGAAGGCCGTCGAAGGCCGTCGAAGGCCGTCGAAGGCCCCAGTCACTACGTACCGTTTCGGGGATGAAGCCGAAGGGTTCGAAGATGCAGGCAGAAGATGCAGTGGTTTGCGGAGACCCCACAGAGGAGCCCGTGGGACCCGAAGCTTTGCAAATGACCGTTAACAATATGTTGAACTGTCGAGGTGGATGGCATGGCTGGAGTGGGACCCTGAAGTCGGAACACCAAGGCTCAGGGGGTGCCATCCACTTTCATGTTTGGAGGGTCACTTAGAGGTGAACGAAGGGGTTCCCAGCGGTTCGCCGAAGTCCATGGAGCGAATGACCTGCAGAAGGGCACGTGGAGAGGTCACAGACCACGAGGGGATAGAGGATACCAGGAGTCCACGTGCGCTTTATGGCAGAGACCTTTCAAAGACAGATGCAAGCCAAGCTCGCAGCCGGAAGTTTGACCACTTTTCGATGCCCGCGTTTGGTGAGTGGAGACACTAGGGGAGACCGGAAAGTCGCTGTAATACTGTGTCCAACGATCAACTCTGGTCTCGTGTTGATGCCTCACCTTGCCTCACCACCTTCGAGTCATGCAGGTCTTGCTCCAGTTGCAAGGGGCAAGCCAGAGAGCCTACCGTGGCTGGGCGTACGTCGCGACGTACGTCGCGACGGCGAAAGCACCCTGTGATTCGGATTCGGGTGGACCAAGGTTGGTGTGTCAGAATATCCCACATCCAGAGGACGGAATACGTAGTCCATGTTTCCCTTTGTGGATCAATTTGCAGGCACCTAGAGTTTTTGATCTGCGCATGTAGTTGGTTGGGTCAGTTTCCATGTCCTCCCCAAAGAATCAAAGTGTCCACTCTCTTCTGGAAAGCCCAACTAGAGGGAGGAACTACTGGTACAAGCGACCACCGCTTGCCAAAAGCGAGCTCAGAGCTCAGAGCGACAGAGCACTGGGTCCACCGAACCAAAGCGCCGTGGGGTCCGGTCGCGGCACTGAGGGATTGCCATTGGCACGCTGCAAAAGAGCAGCCAGTGGAAAGAAGCGTTGGCCGTCTTTGAGCACTTTCAATCGAGAGGTGCGCTGGGATGATGGGATGGTGCGAGTGAAGACATATCATCTAGGATGTTGTGGGTGAGCAAGCAACCTCTGCCACACATGGTCTTCAAGTGGATAGAATTGGATTGGCTATGAGACAAGTCACAAGCCGGTGATTTTTTGATGGTCCCAGATTCTTTCTCCACTGGTCCTGATGACTCATGACTATAGTATATAGTATATAGTATAGTATAGATGCTTGGTTTCTACCAGAGACTCTCCACAAACTGTCTCTCCTTTGATGGGGTCACCCACAACATCGTCGCGATTGGGAAGGGCAAGGGAATGTGAGTGAACGCATACATTAAACCCCAACACAACAGCACTGAAAGGACAACTTATGTTCAAGGGTTGATGTTCAGCATCGGTGTGAGTATTCAGTTCCTCGGTGATCCGTGTTAACGAAAATCCATGATCTCCGTCCTTCTGCCTCGGTATCCAGCCAGTTGACTCCTCAACTTCGAGCACTATCAGTGATAAAGCTATATAATTCCCCATTGCAATTCCCTGCAATTGTCACACTCAATGCACCTTCTGAAAAGCAAGCAGCTCGGGAAGGGATGCAATAAAACTGCATGTAGCCAATTTCCGCAACACAAGCCACAAACGCCCGAATCCAGACGTGATCACTGGCAGTAAGGATGTCTACGATGATGGGCCCAAAGTAGGCTTCCCAGTTTCCTCTCTGGAACATGGGCCCTGCGAATGTGAATCTCTACGCGTGAGGGGCACATCGTCTTCCAAAGCGACTTCGTCTGGGTCTCCTGCGCCGCATCCCTCCATGTGGAGATCTCCAGGATCCGAGACGGAGACCCAGCTGTGCAATGCTGCCTTGGGGGCTGCGGCGGCAGGCCGGGACGCGAAGCGACCCCCCTCGTGAGGCTGGAAAACAGCCGCGACCGGCCTTGGGGCACGGAGAACAGCGGGGCTTGGGCGTCCTGAAGACCCAGGGTTCAACGAGCTGGCCGCGGGCAGTAGGGAATGACTGTCTGGCCAAACTTGGCTCATTTCCCTCATGCCTGCACTTGGCAGAGAAGTGGAAAAATCCAAATTCTGGTGTATTTCTCGCATTGTCATCCTTGGGCCGGGCAATGCCTTTCCAGTGTATCCTGCCGAATTTGGGGTCACCTGGCACCTGCTTCTCCTCAGGCGCGGCCTGGCGCCGGGCGCTCCACGTCTTTGCCCAGACCCCGTCGCCGGATGCGTCGAGCTACACCAACGCGGTGACGGCGGGCACGTCGGTCGACGGACGTCGGTTCGATGGCCTCACCTGGGCAAAGTGGGGGTTCATTTTCGGACTTGATGACTCCAAGCAATGTCATGCAGCCATGCAGATGCACCGGACTGGTTCAGACCTTTGATTCATCCCCCAGACCTGGTGCGGTGCTGTTGGAAGTCGGTGCTGTTGACCACAGACCTCTTGGGAGTCCTCGTGAGGCCATGGCCCGCGCAGAGAGGTGGATCGAGGCTTTGCAGTGGCCAGTCCCGAAATCGGTGGACACACTCGTTTTTCGCTTTGTGTTTTCAAGGACAGGACACTCTTTTTGTCCTTCCAAGAAGGATCAAGAAGGTGTTTTCCCTGGCAGTTGCTTGACCTATCGGCATGTTTGTTGTCACTGAGTGTCCAGCTTGCTTTGTTTTTTTTGTTTCGACCGAAAACCGAGGCTCTTCCGCCGCTTGCCGGAAGGTAAAATGGACCTGCCGGCACGGCTGCTGGGAATCCAGCTGAATGGCCGGGGAACCTGAACCGGAAAGCCGGAGAGGGTCGATTGGAGGTCGCGATGGCCTGGAGCCCCGTTCGTAGCTTCTTGTTCCGTAGCAAGGCCGGGAGCCCCGTTCGTAGCGTCCTTGCTCCGTTCGCCAGGAGCCCTGTTCGTAGCGAATCTTGTTCTTGGAGGATCTCATGCCTTCGAGGTTCGAGGATCTCAAGATGACCCGCCACATCCGATCTCATAGATTATCCACTGTGCGTTTGGTAATTTTGCTTCTTGGATCTTCTTGGTCTTGGCCTGAGTTATTCAAGATCTGCGAGTTTCTGGGTTGACCGTTGTGGAAGAGTTGACCGTTCTGGGTAGACCGTTGCTTTCAACCCGATTTCGGGTGTCATGACCTCGGAGTGCTTGACTCGTTTTTTGAGAGTTGGAGGTGGTGGACATGACCGGACAGGGACATCTTTAGCAAGCTGCGCAGCATTCTTGGATGTTTATTTGGACGCCCAAGCAAGGGGTTTTGTTTTGCTTGTGTCCAAACTTGTGTCCCATTCTTTCCAGATTGCACAGTCACTTAGTCACTTCACTTTGATGAGGTATCTTGGGCCACCACAAGGCGGCTCTGGCACTCAAGCCAGGCTTGGGGAGCGGGGAACACATGACACGATAGGCCGGATGAATAGGCATTGCAGAGTGGACTTCCAGACCAGCCAATTGAGAAATGATATACAGATACAGTAGATCATGATAGATCTTGGATGCTGGTGTTCAGAGTACTGGCATCATTCCTTGATTCTTTGATCTTCTCAGCACGGTGTTTCCTTTGTCCAGCCGTCTCAGCACCGAAACTGGGTGATTCTCCCCCGAACACAGAACTGTTCGGTGAAAAGAACTGCATTCTTCGTTTTGTCAACCGTCCGATGAGACTTCCCAAATGGGGACCCTGGGACAAAGAGCAAAAGTGAGAGAGTCTTTTCAGGGAAAGAAAAGAACACAGTCAGAGAAACAAAGGGCATCGCTACGAACGGAGCAAGGACGCTACGAACGGGGCGCTCCTGGCATTGCTACTAGGAACAAAGGACGCTACGAACGTAACAACTGAAAAACTCTCTCACTGACCTCATCGCTTGTTGATTTCTGACTTTTGGCTGCTGGTGCCTGGTGCCATGCTTTCTTCAGTCGCCACGATCCAGATCCCAAGACAGGATCCCCAAAGGGAGAGAACTGAGATCGAACAGATCGGTTCGAAACACCTCAACTGTACTGTATGTACCATTCGTTGAGGTCTTCAGTTCTTTTTACGAGATTGGACTCCCCAAAGGTCAAAGCTTCAAGGGCACAAATGCCTTCTTCGTGTGAATCCTTGCAACTCCATTTGCGCATAGCAGGCTTACTTGGGTCATCTTGGGCTTGAAGTTGACCTCGGGATACCCACAGATCCCTGCTGATTGAAGGTCAATCAATAATTTTTTTGGGTACAGTAAAATGATGAGTCAAACCATTTCTTGGAAACCATTGGAGACCCATTTCGAGTCAAACCCCCGTGGCACCGGTCCGAGGCTGGAGCTCCACCGTTTCGACCGAAACGTCACGTCCGACCGAAACGTCCAGTCACCGGTGACTGTGAAACGTCCGGTCACCGGCGGCACAGATTCCGGTCGCTTCAATGTGAAGATCTACAATGCTTGCATCTCAGCCACTCTGCTGCAGTGGGTGAGCCGCTGAGCCTCCCTTATGCGTGTTGAGAACACAGGGTTGGTGACCGCCACAGGGGAGGTTCGTTTTAGAGACCACAGGGTTGGCGGTGAGAAACATCATTGATGATGTTACCCCTTGAACAAGGTTTAGCAGACACCCCTTCTATTTGGAAGAACGATCTTTCAAGGACCCCTGCTAGCCTTTCGCCATGTTGTTGGATGCTGAAGGAACCTGCACCACCTTAGGTGCTTCCCACAACCTCACGATTCAGAGGTCTTTTTTTGGAAAAAACTGGCTTCCTCCAACCAGATTTCATGTGAGATGTCGTAAACAGCAAGGCCTTGGCCACCATGCCTGCGTCCAATGCCCGTGATGCACTGGCTGCTCGCTTAGCGGTGAAGGCCCCAGGGGTTTTGCGTCGCCCTGGCTGCGTCCTGAGAGTGGTCGGCGATGCACCCTCAGCTGGAAGGATGCTGAACAGATTGAACACCTCAAACCACGACAAGTCAACTAAGTGCCAAGAAGATGGTCTGAACACTCCGACTGAACACTTCCAAAGATCCATGGTCTGGGCATGTGTTTCACGACCAGTGTTTCGTCGGAGTGTATCATCTTTCGGGGTTGACTTTCCATGGATTGCAGGTGTCCAAGTGAAGTTCTCTAGCAGACTTAGCAAACTGGATCCATCTCGGGGCTTTGTCTACAAAACTTATCTGTTGGGGTCCGTGTCGATGATTTCGATGTACACCTCCAGACAGAATTCCTTGCAGAAGAAGCCACTGCGGATCATGTTCCACATGTTCTAAATACCGAACGGTTTACCACGCTTGCTCCAAGCAGCTCCAGCTCTCTTCTCGCAGGAGCTGCTCCTCGAAATGAGACAGCGAGTAATGTTGCCTCGGCAGCTTTTAAGCGAAGGATTTTTCATGTCTCATCACCTCTCCATCCAAATTTGCTGGACTTGACTTGATTGTTTTTTATTTGTTCCCTTTTTTAAGATCATGTTTTAATTAATCCACATGGCTGAGGTTTACTCGGGTGAGCTACGGTGCAGCTCTACAAGCCTTCAGCAAGAACAGCGGATGGGAGGAGGCGCAGCTGAGAATGCCTGCCCGGAGGCTCCCAGTGCAACATGGGCAACCAAAAGTTATTTCTTTAAAGCCTTTTTCCACCTAGGCTACCGGCCAGACCGTACAGCTGCTTGAAGTAAAACAGTTGCCCTTTTTCACTGTTTTCTTCGAAACTTTATTTCATTTCCAGGTCACCTGGGTGATCCGATTCCCGCAAAAAGAGCGACCCACCTGCCCCTGGGAGCCCCCGAAAGCAGACCGAAAGCGGATCCGTCTCCTGGTGCGTGAACACCGAAGTCCAGGCGCTGGATCTCTTGCAGGAGATGTGCCGTGGCGGAAGGGGAACCCGGGAGGCGGTGGAGGTTCAAAAAACACCAGTGGCAATGCTGATAAGTGACAACTTGGAACAAGTATAAGTGCTAACTTTTTCTGGATTTCTTCATGTTTGTGTGAATAGCTTGAGGGGATTATTGTTGACACAACATGGTCATCGGACAGTCCAGGCAACGCTGGAGGCAATTTGCTGAAGTCAGCGATACCTTGCGAGACCCTCACTTAAATCCAAGTACAGCTGGACCTTTCAAGCTTTTAATCTTTGTTTCTTGTCGATTCTCTGCAGTTGAATACACATCAACGTACCAAGTTGGACCCACGAGCTACCTGCCAGCTCGTCGAGCCAACACTGGCCATGCTCAGGTCCACAGTGAGGCTCCCTCCTGATGCACAGGCGGATGCGAGTGCAACCCCACATATCCCACCTACGAAGTGGGTGTGGAGTATAGTTTGACTGGATTTTGTGGTGTGGGCCACGAACTAAGTGGGATCATGTGAACAAGGGAGATTACCTTGGGAATAGTATCCAGGAATCTAAGGTTTTTGTTCAAGTTTATATGTTTCCATGTTTCCGGGTTCAAAGGTTCGTAAATGCCACAATAGACCCTAAGGCCCTGTCACTCTTCAGTGTCCATATGTTGGTGCGGTGCAGAACCATGCTTTTCGCCTCACCCTCATGGGTGTGGACTGACTTGGCATCTGCTCTCACAGATGCTTGCCTCACATGTTGGCTCAAGCTCCTGATGCACTCCACCCCGCATTGACATTGGGTTTTTCATCTCAAATGTTGAGATAGCCTTGAGGGAAGATGTCCACATTTTTGGGCAGTCACCTCGACCTGCTGAAGACGAGCCAGCAGAATCTTTGCTTCCAACACTCAATCAGCTAGCTGGCCGTCTTCTTCAAGCAAGTTTCTGGGTTGGTAAAAGCAAACTCTTAGCCATACAAAGTACTTGCCTGTGAAATCACACCATGGACGTACAAAATCCTGACACCCCGGTATGCAACATATTATATATTGTATTCGGCGGCTCGGCGGTTTAGTTTAAGAACTATTTTAAAAGAAACACCAAGCAAAACCACGTGCAAAACCTTGGGGTGGCTCAGGATGGTCGGAAGGACTTGAAACCATCGATTGGCGGTTTTTTAAAAGCCACGATTCGACTGGGTCGAACGACAATGTGCTGAACTTCGGTAGATGGCGTCTGCTTCGGTCGCCTCAAGGTCTTTTTTGTAGATGGGTAGATGGCGTCTGCTTCGGTCGCCTCAAGGTCTTTTTTTGTAGATGGGTAGATGGC